TTACCGTATTTAGGCTGTCAAAATGGAGGATACTATGATTATTATAACGGTAGATGTCGCTGCCAAGCAGGCACGTGGGGCTATTATTGCCAATATGGAAGTGGTGAGTTGATTTGTGAAAATATTCTAGAGAACAATTTCATGGTGATGAGTGGTCCTTATCTCATTCCTTTCAATTTATTTCACTCTTACCCTTTCTAATGAATATAAATAAATATACAGGTACACATGTAAATAAATAATTCAGAGTACTTATTAAAAACAGCAGCACTTTTGTGGAATCCCACATCAGGGTGCAGGCATGCACTGTATATCTCATAGACAACCGTATACATCATTACACGTGATAGTACCGTATAAACCAGTGATTGAGACTTAACTAATTTTGATATGTTTTAGTGCAAACTACGGTGGAGACGACAAAAATGGCGACAACGTACGGTGAGCCTCTCTTTCTCTCTCTCTCTCAATCTCCGTGCTTACCACGTTATGCTTTTAAGTCAAGAATCGACAGTCTCGATGAAATGCCAAGGTTTCTTGTGCACCTGAAGATTAACTTTACCTGAAATATTAGAGTGATGCCTATTCATCTTTCAGATTGGTGATTAACATTGCCTCTGGCAAATCGTGATGTTCACTGATAAATTAGCTTATACTTTTTGCTGTGGTTTCCTATCTCTCCATTGCGTTTCAGATCCCTGCTACCGCAATCCGTGTCAGAACGGTGGAACGTGTTACCCGAAGAGAGCCTCGTACTGGCCGTACCAATACACAGAATACAGCTGTCAGTGTGACTCTTACCACTATGGACAGAAATGCCAGTATTATGGACGTAAGGAGAGAGTGAATAACACGATACTTGTTTTAAGCTATAAATCTTGAAAATCATTATTCGGTTCAATGTAATCAGATTAATAACGTGACTACCTGTATATATGAATATAAATAAATAAAATGAAGACAAACAGATTAAATAAAACTGTCCAAGGTATGAGGCTATAGTCATAAGTTTAGCTTTATCCAGTATCTGTGTAGAAATATACATGTAAAGTTTACCCCTGTTGTCTGCAGCACTGAATATTTTTACTAAAATAATGCAGTGAGCGATTCAAGCTTAATGTTTCTTTTTGTCAGGACCAACCACTGAGAGACCCACGGAAATGGCAACACAGAGTAAGTTTCAAGGAAAAGGGATCTTTTTCCTAATGTTTAAAAAACATTTTTTTTTTTTGCAGTAGAAATGGGGCCTTTTTGGCGATAAAAAGCAGGTTTACTAAAGTACAATCATGTAATTTGCTTATAGTCATTTGATTGTTTCCAAATATTTGGAAAATCACGACGTTGCATGTCCGGCTAACGTACAACAAACGTCGCTTGCAACACAATAAATCATGACACAAGCAGTACACTAAACAGCCCATTCATGCCCTGCACTTATGTCTGCAGCACGTGTAATTGTAAGTACAAATTGTGTCTCTATGTCATTCTCTGTTTATACTCGTGTTGATTCAGTTTTCCTTATTTCGTAATATAGACTGTCAAAATGGAGGGTACTATGATTATTATAACGGTAGATGTCGCTGTCAAGCAGGCACGTGGGGCTATTATTGCCAATATGGCAGTGGTGAGTAGTATTTGTTTAAATGTACATGGAATTATTTTATCATAATGTGTAACCCTATCATCTCGTTTCTTCCAGTATTATTGTACATTAATTGATGTTCACCTTTGACACGTTTTTTACTACTTCGATCGAGTCTTATTATGTATACGTATGTATTGTATAGTGAACGACTTTGAATAACAAATGCTAATGAAAAATACCGAACGACATATAGGGTTTTTACTTCCAATACATGTACATGTATATGGACACTGAAATACAAATACACATTGGGGCATGTATTACATTACTCAACAATGGCAACATGCAGTTTGTTTTCAATGTGTTCTCACTGAACATTTCTTGTCAATGTATAGGGATGCTTGCAGTACAAATATGCACTTTTTCGATATTTGTTTCAGTAACGACGCCATTACCACCTGAAGAAACAACTTTAATGGCAAACACAACAGGTACTTGTGATATGAAATAAAAATGGTTCACTACGTATGTACTCCTCATATATATATTCACGCATATTGAGTCATTTGATTGTAGTTTTGACACCTTTAACTTAAAAATAATACATTTATACATTTCCTTTTTTAGTTGTAGTTATGCCAACTGTACAATTTCAACTATCCCACTTTCTGAACTAAACGGTCGCGACCAGTCTAGTTAACAACACGTGGGCACTATGCCAAATGCCCTAACCATGCTCAGGGATCAAAATAAAATTCTGTTCTCGTTCATGCTACTTACTTGTTAAGTGAACAGTGACACGCCTACTATCCCTATATTATATTATATTATATTATATTATATTATATTATATTATATTATATTATATTATATTATATTATGTTATAAAACGACCGCCGTTTCAGATAAGTTTACAGGGAAAAAGATCCGTTTAGTAGGAGGAGGGGGTGGCAGCATAGGTCGTGTGGAGGTTTATCATAATGGCCAGTGGGGGACAGTTTGTGACGATAGTTTTGACAACACGGATGCCCAAGTTGTATGCCGTATGCTGGGATACAGGTCCGACTTTTATTAACGTTGCATCGTCAGTATTGCTTAAATTGGTATGTTAAACATAACAACACAAAATTTCACTGGACTCACTTTGCATTTCAGTATTAAATATTCCGAGAATGCAATGTTCGCCTATCACCCTCACAATGCTGTATACAATAGTGCAACAATATTTGCATTTTTTGTCTAAAATGTGGATATTATAATCATTAAATTTCCCCACATTAAAAATATGTATTGACTATTCAGACAATGAAACAATACCCCCTAGGTCCTAAAATGTTTTCATTTTTGACTAACGTAGTCGTTGAATTTAAGGAGTCTGGATAGTTGAATCCCTGTCTGCAATGCTTCTGTTGTAAAACCCTACCAAATTTACACTTGTTACAGCCCATACAATGCCATAGCCTACTCGAGCGCCAGGTTTGGTCAAGGCCGTGGTCCGATATGGCTGGATGACCTGCGCTGTAGAGGCTACGAGTCCAGTGTATTTGATTGCTCTCACCAAGGTCTGGGTAAACACAACTGTGGACATAGTGAAGATGCTGGGGTGTCATGCTACAATGATACAGATCTATCGGTTACCACGGCGTATTCAGGCGAGTTACTAACTTACTCCTTTGAACTTCAAAATTTTTGTCGGGATTTTTGCGCCAAATAAATTCTAGCCAAAACAATTGTAGCCATTAAATTATGAATTTGGTACATATTCAAATGCGTTTAGTACATGCTTATACATTACTATTAAAAGTTTGACATATCGGTTCACGAGGCAGGGCGCTTTGTATCACACATGTGTGATAACAGCACCTACGTTATCTTTATCTGGCAATAAAGGCAGAAGTTTTACCCATTTCATGGCGTGCCAAAGCACACGTAAGATTTGTCAACAAGATGAAGATTCAACAAAATACTGTTATTTAAATTAACGGCAAGTAAAGCATTTTTCAATGATTGGAGTTCGGTAAATAATTAACTGCAGATCAACACTCAAAGGCAAAATTTAACCAAGTATTTTATTTATTATTTCATCTTTTTCAGAAGAAACCACGGCAGCAAACGAAATAACAACTGGTATGGGAGAGAAGCCATGCTGTAAAACTGTCAAATATGTTTATTTTATATAGTGTCATATATTTTTAATCAAAATTTTAGAAAACCCTTGTCAATAGGAATTTGGTAATCAAACAAATTTTTAACACTGAATGAACTACATGTATATTTTGACATAAGTCACATCACAGATGTTTGAACATTGAAACTGAATACCAAATATGTTTATTTCATTTCCAGAAATGCCAGAAACAACTACACACGGTAAGCCTTCCTAGTGTACCTTGTCTCGTTTGATATGGTGTAAGGACTTTTGTAAAGGCTGTGTGGAAGTCGCTATAAGTATAGACTCTAAGTGCAATGGACCGAGTACAAATTTTTGTAATTGCAATCTTGCGATCTTGCAATCTTGTTTTTTTTTTTAAATGTACATTGTAAGGTGTATAATATGAGTCTGAACTTTAATGTAAACGCCTCAAAATACTATTCTACTGTGCTGGTAGTTTTAGTTCAATATCTTTAATTTAAAAGTGTCTCAGTGCCAGGTACTACTCTTCATTTAAATATGCACCATTTCAGACCCCTGTTCCCAAAACCCCTGCCAGTATGGTGGTACATGTATACGTACTAACAGTTACTATTGGCCGTACACTGGCTACAGATGTAACTGTCCTTACTACCGTACTGGGCAAAAGTGCGAGTACGGTGCTTATGGATACCGTAAGTTGATTTCTTTCTATAAAAGTGCATTTTATTTTTGGTTTTTGATCTAAGAATCAAAATATCCTCCAATTTATATTCATACCCAAGTTTTAGTCCGCGTCGGAATAGTATTTGTAAAACTAATAGAAGAAGTAGAAATATTTACCATTTTGTTACGTGATAAAGCACCTGTTGGGTTAATCAATAAGTTGAAGATTGAACAAAATACATATTTGAAAGATAAGTACAGCATATTTCAAGAAGCAGCATTTGGTTAATAACTGCAGTCCAAGACGGCGCAACAAATATTTACTAAGTATTTTATGTATTTTTCATCTTTTACAGAAGAAACCACGGCGGCAAACGAAATCACAACTGGTATGAGTGTGAAATCATGTAGTAAAACTCTAAAATATGTTCATGTTATGTAGTATTATATGTAATGGTATGAATCCTCAATATATCAGAATAAACTGTCTAACATTAAGTCAACTGCCGTATATTTTGCATTTAGTCGCATCACAGATTTTTAAACATTTAAATTGAAATATTTCCATTTCATGTTCAGAAATGCCGGAAGCAACAACATACGGTAAGCCTTCTAATTAAACGTGCCGTCGTTTGTTATATTGTCAATACTTTTGCAAAGGCTGTGTGGAAGTTGTTTTAAATAGAATCTTCAATTATAATACACAAGTTTTTGCAAATACATTCTTAGGTGTATAATATGTGTCTGTAATTGTCCGAGCATGCTACTGTGCTGTTCCTGGGCTCGGAATCTCGAAAGGTTCGCGCTATAGCATAGCTAGCGTGCGCTATTTGCTAGTGCGATTGCACCCACCTGCTATCTCGAAGCCTTAGCAGACGCAACGCAATTATAACCTCAAACTCTACTAATATTCGATTGCCGCATAAAGTGAAGACGTCATAACACAATTACACAAAATGCAATTTTTTTCACCATGACGCAAATCAAGAGGTTGTTTTTTATTTATAGGAATATCATAATTACAAATACTGATATTTGAAGTATTTGACACCAATAAAATGTCAAAAAACAATTCAATAAGCGAAGCTTGGACTGACACAATTACTGACACAATGGTGAGTAGTGTTCAGTCTCAC